TTCATTCCTTTGTTTTTGTGCTTGTGCCTTTGTGGCTATGTGAATTTTTTTTCTGCAAATTTTAATCTGTTGCTTTTCCCAGGCATGTTTTTATAACAAAAATAATTCCTCACTGCTACTTCTTTCTTTTTAGTGGCCTCAGTGTCTAGAATATTCAGATCGCGTTTCCATTCAGCAGCCAATGAAATTATGCTCATCAAGAGTGCTACCCTCTAACTTGCATGAAAATATTTAATATTTTGTGGTATATATAGGCCTCGGTGTCAAACATATTCATTTCATGGAGATTAGGGTAGCTATTTAGTTGTTGACACTGATACGAAGAATACAGGATTAAGCACTGAATTTGGCTTGCCATTTGCTGTATAAGCTTCTTTCTCTCGAGAAATCTTGTCAGAATAGGCTAAAAGCTACAGCTATAATTGTTATTTTATGACATTGAAGTGTAATAATTCGTACAGGATGGGAATGCACTGAGGACCAAATTCTTTGTAGAGATGTTGAAGTACAACCACAACGAATCTAAGACAACATTCCTGAAGATACACAAGGACTTATTAGGCGTGAGGATTTAGGTGGCTTCAAAGATATAATAGTTGTGATGTTATTTATTTGAAATGTTGCTCTTTAAGTAGAATTGCAATGGACTCAACACTATGATAACTCATCATGAATCTCTTTTGGCACGAATCTTAATCTATCTCACTATTTACTTATTTTTAAGAAACATAGTTGTTTGGTTGTTCATGTGCATCCCTGAAAGCCGCCGTGGCGTTAGTACGAGCACTATACTATGATACAAAGGGCACCTGTATTAATGACAGGCTGAAATGGCTCACCTTGCAATACTGGTGAAATAAAGACATTGAGGAACTAGAGGCACCTAAGCAAACTTAAGAAGTAAAGTATCAGTTATTAAGGTATATACTAGGAGAATATTTTTACAACATATTATAAATATATATACTAGCAGTAACATTTGTCCTTACAACATATTATAAATATTGCATAATGATATCTGTTAAATAATAAAACGGGTTAGGCTTACCTTTCATTATTACAAACTGTTGGCTTTGTTGTCACTGCAGGTAAATGTTTTGGAGGACGCGATCCACTAGTGAAGAAACTGCAGAAGTTCTATTATTCTGTAGTCGCCAAATATCAAGTGGCTATTTTGCTTTTTTCCCCCTAATGCTTCAGGATGTATCTCATAGAAAATGAAATAATGGACTTTTGATAAGTGGTAAAATGACATTATTAGTATAAATGATCAGTAGTTAAAGAACACGCGCTACTATTATTGATTTCTTTTTAGTTTTGACTGCTACTCTCTTGATGAGTCTTGACTTTCAGAAGCGAACTGATCTTTTAGCTTCTTTTGTCTGTATAGCTTTTTTTTCATCTCAGACTAACTGCTCTAGTAGTACGCATGTAGTATTAAGGCCCGTTTGATTTCTACAGTCGCTCCTAAAATTTCTATCACATCGAATGTTTAACACATGTATGGAGTATTAAATATAAACTAATTATGAAATTAATTGCACAACTTACGATTAATTTACAAGACGAATCTTTTAAACCTAATTAGTCCATGATTTGATAACACGGTGCTACAGTAAACATGTGCTAATAACAGATTAATTAGGCTTAAAAATTGTTTTGCAAATTAGCCTTCATCTATATAATTAGTTATATAATTAATCTATATTTAATGCTCTTTATTAGTATCTAAACATTCGATGTGACATGAATTTTAGAAGCAACTAAAGAACCAAACACCCCTTAGAACGCATAGCTACCAACCTGATGTTAGCCTCTGTCGATTTAACGGTACCGTAGTAGGGTTTATGGTGATTGATATGTGAAACACCATGTGGCCTAGTTGATTTGATCGTTTCTCAGCTGCAAGTTCATGTAATAATGAACTACTTGCATGCATGCAACGAATGAGAAGAATTAGATACATAGGAAAATGCAAAATTGTACTCCATGCATCCTTCCTTGTGTTACATGTTGTTTTGTATATAACCAATACTTTATATATATAAGCATTTTAATTTCATTATTTTTTATAAAAAATAATCATTTGAAAATATTCTGATGTCAAGTATGCCAATATCAATTTTTTATGTCCAATATCAATTTTTTTATGTGACATGTCGCGTCAGAATTGTGCATCCAATTTTAGCCCTTGTTTAGTTGGACCCCAAATTTCAAAAAGTTGTTACAGTACCTGTCACATCGAATGTTTGTGGCTCGTACATGGAACATTAAATGTAGACGAAAAAAAAACTAATTGCACAGTTTGGTGGGAAATTACGAGACGAACGTTTTGAGCCTAATTAGTCCATGATTGAACACTATTTGCTAAATAAAAACGAACGTGCTATAGTAGCCCCAAAATCCAACTTTGGGGAACTAAACGCGCGCTTAGTGTGTAAACGCATTTTCAAACAATCTGCCGAGGTCAGCATTCCTTGATAAGACGGATAGATACTTGGCTGGTTGGCAATCATCTCTGCTGTACCATGGGATGATATGTGTTGGTGAACGCGCGGCTCCTTGACTCTCGTTTCAAATTCCTACTTTTTGCCTATGTTTCAAATTGCGGCACCACTAGCGCTCGCGTAGACGCCCGTGTCCGGACGTCCGTGCCTGCAGTTCGTTTTTGCGCTTGACGTCGGTGTCGGCTGCTCCAAGAAACTACGCCCCTACTTCACGCCTCTATCCACCCGCACCCCATCCGCTTTTCGCCCGCGCATCCGCTTTTCGCCCGCGCCCCCTCCGCTTGCCGCACACGCATGTCGCTTGGACTGCCTTTGCCCTTGCCGCCCTCCGCTTCCCGCACCCGCTGCCGAGCAGCGCTCCATCCCTTCACTCCCCCATGTGCATGCACGGTGCCCAAGCAGCTGCAGCAGACGGTTGTGACATGTGAGTCACTTTGTAACATGTGCAATATCCCGATCTACTTTTAAAATATCCAGATGAAACACTTGCAACATTCGTACAAAACAGCAGAAACACTTGCAAAAGCACATAAAAACTCTTGAAAACCATTGCAAATATATGCAACATCCAGATAAAATAGTTGCAACATACGTGTGAAACATATACAACATCCGGATGAAACACTTGCAATGAACGTCTGAAAAAATAGATGAAACATTTGGAACATACACTTGAAACAGACGTGTGTAGCCATTGCAACATATGCAACATCACGATCTACTTTTGCAACATCAAGATGAAACACTTGCAACATCAAGATGAAATATCTGAAACACTTAAAACGTTTGCAACATGCGCTGCGCAATGTCACCTTACTGCTTGGACGAGGTACCTGAGCAGCGTGGGCACGCCGGCGAAGGAGAGCGCCGCGACGACCAGGAGCTCCCACACGCCGAGGTCGAGGTCCCCGCTAGGGGAGGTCCGCGTTGATGAGCGCCCGAAGGAGGTCGTCGTTTTGTCAACCCCCATGCCGCCGAAGACGTCCGACTCGTCAACCACGTCGGCGGCGATGAGGTTGCTAGAGGAGGAGTGGGCACGACGTGGCAAGGTTCTGGACGAGGAGTGGGCATGGCGTGGTGGCAGATGCGGTGCGTAGCGGGGTGGGGGTGTCAGGCGGAGTGGGGCAGGCGCCCGATGCGTTGAAGCCGCGACGAGCGAAGCGAGTGAGGATTTCCATCAGTGGGGGTTATGTCGCTAGGTAGAGATGAAGGAGAGAGCATAGAGGGAAGCAGGCTAATTGCTGTTGGGCCCGATTTACTGCGCAGGCCGAGGAACAGGGAGCGTCTGGTTGCCATACGTCCGAACGGACGCCCTAATCATAGCATTGGCGTTCAAATCGAGCCTTATGTGGGCGAGACTAGCTCAAATTAAACTACATTGTCACGTTGTGCAGTTGGGCTCTTTAAAAGGAGTCGGATTATTATCCTATTAAAAGCTTTAGATAATCCACAATCAATTATACGATAATCCATATCTATCGGATTTTGCTGGTTCTAACCTATCTGTATCCATATAAAATCAGATTCAAATTATCTATATCCGTATAGATATAAAAAAAACTCCTTGAAAATCTTATTCGGCTCATATCATATTGATAAATTATTAACATCACTTTCACTCTTGACAAAATTCTTGATAGCATCGTCTAACACATCATCACTCGTGCATGGATGAACGTACCCCGGTTGCAAGGCACGTGCACGGTGCACTCATATATAAGTACTTTATCCATCTAAAAAGATACTAATATTTATCATATTATTAAATAATTATTATCCCTAAATAATTGTCGTTTTCGTTTTTCAAGAAATAACTTTGACTAAATATATATAAAAATAATAATATTTATGCTATAAAATTAATATCATTAGGTAGGTCATTGATTTTATTTTCATAATAAATTTATTTAGAGATACAAATGTTGCACAGATTTTCTATAAATTTAGTCAAACTTATGACACAAAAATAAAAAACGGCGGTTATTTAAGGACAGATGGGGTATTTCTCATAAAATATATTTTTTTATAGTATATTTATTTGGAGTCATCCGCGTTAATAATATTTTCGTTATAAACTCAGTTAGACTTAAAACAATTGACCAAATGTGTCAGTGCATTTTTCTGGATTGGAGGGGGCAGTACTCTAGTTTTTACTTTTTTAGTACTTTTTTGGGACATTTGGAATTTGCGCACTCTCATTGCACTTGCACCTCTTCCGCTCAAAGAACTCAAACCCGACGCGAACGAGTGGCCGCCAAATCAGTTACTGACATTGTGGGCCCGCATGGACCCTGAGCCAACAACCTTGTCCGTGTCCTCCTGCCCCGCCGATCGCACAACTTCGCAACGGACACGAGGAAAGCTGATTTGTGGGCGGCCCCCTTCGACAACACCGCCGCCGCCCGCTCCCCCATCTGGCTATCTCTGTCTCCCGTTGATCTCTTCTCTCGCCGAAGAGCTCGCACTCAGAGGAGAGAGAGAGGAGAAGAAGAGATGAGGAAGCTAGTCTCCTCGCGCCTGGCGGCGCTGTCGCCGCCGGAGGTGGCGTCGGCCGCGGCCGCGGCGGGAGGGGCCGCGCTGGCGCTGCGGGGCTGGTGGGAGGAGGTGAACGACTCGCCGGCGTGGAAGGACGGGGCCTTCTTCTCCCTCTCCAACGCCTACGCCCTCGTGTCCGCTGTCGCCCTGGTACGCCCGCCGGCTGGACCTTGTTCGAACCCCACTCTAACCCTATCATCATCTCCGCCCAATCGCGCTAATCACCCCCATCTGGTTTTGGTTTTGCGGGTGATGTGGCGCCTCGATCTGAATGGAACTTCGGTGTGCGGTAGTGACGTGTGGTAAATTACGAATCTATTGTGTTTTGTCCTTGAGCGTCAGGATTGTCCCCGTTGCTGTCCCCAAACGTCTCCATCCATTTATGGTATTGTGGCTGGATGAAATTGTATGTGTCAGGTGAAACTGTGGCTATAGAGAGGTGGGTTTAAAGTTGTTATAGCGGAATCCTCTGATTTCCCTCCGGAAATGAGTGCTGTTGCCATTATGGCATCTATTCACACGGTCTACATAGATAGGATTTCCTATGCATAAGGTTTCTGAATTGTCCATAAATTATGGATGGAGATTCATTCACCATAGCAGTAATCAGGGCAATCTTTCTATAGCTGGCTGAGTATTTGCCGGAATAATCCTGACAGGTGCAGACAAGTTGTACTATATGGCTCTACAGGAGGTACAGACCAGCAGCTGCATGTCAGGCTGTATCAGTCACGACTAACCATTCTCAACAGCCATCTTTCATACACAGATTGAAGATTAATACCATTTTGTCTCTGAAACAACATAGTGTTGTTCTACGTCTACCATAATCGAGGGCAATCTTTCTGTTTAGACACTTAAGAATCATCCTTGCAGAAGGCATAATATCCATTAAACAAACACTTGATTGTCCATGGAATCATGGAATCCACCAATTAGCTGTAATCAATTGCTCCATCATCAATTCTAAAGCTTGAAGTTGTCCATCAAGCTGCTTTTGTCAAGGTTTAGTATGGGGGATGAATTGCTTGTGAGCTGTGGCTTTGTCGAAGAAAATTAATACAAGTATTGATTGTCACTACAAACATCAATCTACTTCCATCTAGTGCTATCACTTTAATTTTACCATCATTACTGCAACTATCTTTCTCATGGCGTTATACTTTTGAGCGCCACAAACATGAAGCATTTCCATCTTTACTGCTAAGGTGTTTACAGTTTGCCTCCATTCTTTTCCAACATCCTTGCTTAATGGTTGTTGTGCACACTTCTTAGATTAGAAACTTTTTTTCCTCCTTTTCCACCACAATCCCTCTGGTAGGATAAGAATGTTGAAAATTGTTTATATGGTGCATAAGTTGGCATTGGTACGACATAGGATACTTCATTTCTTTGACGGAAGTTCTCTGAATAAAACACTAGACAGGATATAGAGATGAACATTTTGCAACAGTCCTCCTGAATAGAGAAGTAAATACTAAGATTATGGCCATCTAGAGGGTAAGGAATACCTAATAAGACCAAATCACTATGTAATAACATTCAGTCTTGCTTACCTGGTCATTTTCTTCCTTCTATCCTTCTACTTAAAAAAATGGTAGAACCAGTCTTTTACTCTCTAACCTACTCAGTTAGGTCTTGCTACATTTTTATGAAAATGTATTTTGGAAAGGACCAATACTCTGGATCCTCTTACTGTGGCCCTCTGAAAGTTTTAGTAGTCACTAATGATATTTTCTTCCTTCTATCATGACATTTTCTTCCTTCTATCCTTCTACCTTTTTAGTTTTTATTTGGTTTGCTGGACAGGTCGAACTGTCTTATAAGGTATTCATGGGATAATTTGTTTATTCTGTGTGATTGGTTGTATAAGGTGTCGTTTGGTCACTGTTGTTGGTGAGGTCATGTTTGGTCGCTGACCAAGCTATTTTGGCCCTTCTCCTCTCTTAATGTAATGATACACAGATCTCATGTGAATTCAAGAAAAGAATCGTGTATTCAATGCTATTTGAAAGGATTGTATTCGTGCTAAGAGTGCAATGCAATTCTGCTCTTACTGTATTCCAACAACTATATTTGTTTTTCGATGCTATTTTCACTAAACTTTGTGTGCCTTTAAATTTTGAGTTTCCTGTCGGATAATGAACTGCTTTTATGTATAGCAATGTTTGAAGTTGGAAATATTGCATGCTACATTAACCATATTTGTGCCTAGCAGATTTATAACATTATTTTGAAACATGTGTGGTCATCACTTTGAACTTCAAATGATAGTGAAATGAATATCCGTTAAGTACTCACTTCATTCAGATTTGCAGATTCAATTAATCAGAATTCAGTTGCGGGTGCCGGAAATTGGTTGGACCACACAAAAGGTTTTTCATCTCATGAATTTCATTGTGAACGGAGGTAATGTGCTCTCCTAATGTTTTATCTTCTATCACCATTGCATTCTATTTTTAATAACTATGGGTTGCCTCTTGCAGTTCGTTCTATTATATTTGGATTTCATGCATATGTGTTCCTTCTTCAAAGAAAGGTAAGAACCATGTGTCAAAGAAGATTTATCTAAATGTTGTGGAGGCCTTTTCTTTCTTCAGTATATGTTTGTAGTATCTGGATTGTTGTTTTACAAGAGATTTGTGTTTGTAGTCCCAAATTCATAGCTTTCTTATGGACTGCTCAGTATGGAGGCCTTTTCTTTCTTCAGTATATATTTGTAGTATCTGGATTGTTGTTTTACAAGAGATTTGTGTTTGTAGTCCCAAATCCATAGCTTTCTTATGGACTGCTCAGTGCATTTTTTTTCCGTCCTATTTTGTTCTTCCAGTCAGTCATGTAGTTGATTATTCAACTAAACCTTTCTGTTTCAACAGGTGTATACTTTAGTGCTGTTAGATCTTCCTGGTCTCTTGTTTTTCTCGACCTACACATTGCTTGTGCTATTCTGGGCAGAGATATACCATCAGGTGTTGCCAATATCTTTTTGCTTTTGGCATTTTTTCTTTTCCATCTACAAATTCAGCTCATACACTCATGAACTTATATATGTTAATTTGTATGTCTATGCCAGGCTAATCATCTTCCCACTGACAAGCTAAGGACTATATACATTGCAGTTAATAGTGTCATATATGTAATTCAGGTTGGTTTTTACCTGGTTTGTTGATTCTATTGTCATCTGATATTAGGGTGCTTTGTTTAATTAACCCCAACTGTAAAATACATTGCCCAATGGTTCTCTGGTATCTGTAATAGACAACTATATTCTATGTATCTAATAGATGTTTGTAGGTTTGTATTTGGGTATACCTTGGAATAAATGACAATCCTCTCGTGGAGCTTGTGAGCAAAGTATTCATATCAGGTACTTTCTTTTGTCACCATTGCTAGAGAAATTATCTGTTTAGTTTACCACCTTTTAGCTCGCTAATGTTTTTCCTTCATTGATTTTCAGCTGTCTCATTTATAGCTCTTCTAGGATTCTTAATTTATGGTGGAAGGTAGGGTTTTTTTTTTTTTGGGCATATTCTACTGTTTTTATGAGTTCATTTTGAATGTATTTCTGTTCTCGTTTGTCTAGGTTATTTGTCATGCTGAGACACTTCCCAATTGAATCAAAGGGGCGGAGAAAGAAGCTGATTGAGGTCATTGTTACACTAACAAGTACCTTACAGACCATTTGTACTGTTAATGGTGTGCATGCGAACAAAACAACTTTTTATGCACAATTACTCCCTTGTCCTGTGCCATTACTTCACAGCGGCATCTCTCAAAACTAGCCAGTCTAAAAAGGCATTTGTTTAACTTCCACATCAATTAGCTCAAATTGTAAGCTGCAATATCACTGGAAAGTCTCTTGACTTAATGCTTGAGATTCACATGCCTGTACCTAATTAATATGTTCATTGGTGCTAGCTTAAGATTCACATGTGCTATAAATGGGACTAACTTTATATGTATTAAAATTGTTTGTCAGGTTGGGGCCGTGACAGAAATTTGCTTTACCTGCTTCTTGATTAGATGCGTTGTGGTAAGTATTTAGTTCTTATTGGCTCTTAAAGTCTCAAATATTTATTTTGCGAAGTTCTTTCAAGAATAATGCTTGCTTTGTCATTGATGTGGGACTAAAGATCAGGTGTACAACCCTACAGATTGTCCATTTTTGAGATCGTCCATTTTCGAGATCAATAGATATTAAAAATTCTATGTTGAGTGGGCACATTTGTTATTTACTTATTTTACACCCTAAAAGTAGATACAACTATTTACAACATAACTTAAGAGTCGAAGTACCAAATGCCCAACATGATAAAGATGATGAACTCAAATGTTTGATCATCGCTATTGCTTTGCGGCCTTGTTCAGTAGCTTGCAGGTTGCAGGGTTTGCGTCAAAGTTAAGTTTGACTTGACAAAACTAAAGTGCTATAATCTAGTGGCAGATCCATGATTCAAAACCTATGGGGCCAAACTTGTAAATTTTAAGTCAATTAACACAAGCCGTACACAATTGGCATATATAATTGCCAATAATATGTAGGGGTTCAATGTATTTTGGCAAAACCTGTGGGGCCAGGCGGCCCCAGGGCTGATACATCGATCCACCACTGCTATAATTTGGAACAGAGAGAGTATTGTTAAGTATTGACTAGTCCAGTTCTCGTAACATGCCTACATGTGTGTCCTATCTTCAATTATTCAGGTTTTTAGTTGTATCACCAGTTCATAAGCTTAAATCATGCTTTGATGTGATTGCAGATGGCATTTTTATCATTTGATCCCGATCTATCTCTTGAGGTTTTGGATCATCCAGTTTTGGATTTCTTCTACTACATGGTAAGTACCATGTAATGTATTCTTATACACTTATTTTCCTTTGCAGTTTTTCTTTTTGATGCAGTATTTTCCTTTGTAGTTGACAGAGATACTGCCCTCTGCCCTTGTACTATTCGTCCTGCGGAAACTTCCTCCCAAGCGTGTATCAGCGCAATACAACTCTATTCGTTAGAAGATTTTGGCATGTTATGCTGAGAAATCCTGAAAGGCCAAATTTTCCTAGAATTATGTTTGTCACAGAGCGAACTGTGATATTTGAGCATGGCTTCGAGAGGTATTTTGTCATCTTAGCGCCATGGCTATATGATATAAGAGTACCCCGATGCTAAAGGCCCAATTTTTGGGGGGCATTATATATATTAATCTCCCTGTACAAGTAACTTGTCTATATTTTTATTAATTGTCTAACAGAAAGAACTGTTTGAGTTGGTGACTTTATTTGCATTTGTACCATTTTATCTATTGATTGAAACGGCAGGTAGAATTTTGATGGCATCGCTATTCTCTTTATGATGAGCGGCACTTTTGACACCTGACATATATGCTGAAATTTGGCTTATGCTGAAATTTGGTTTATGCTGAAATGTTATGAGAGGAAAACACTCTTACATGGCTGAAAAGTAGCTAAGCGAATAGGGACATATTTCCTTTCTTAGAGCCTGTTTGGATCCACGTTAAGATTAGCTGAAGTTATGTTTGGACCCTCAACTAATGTTCTACTAACAATTACCCTCTGTTCTAAATTGTACTCAACTAATGTTTTTACCAATAATTACTCCCTCCATATTCGGTTTACCTCATATTCGGCTTGTTCGGCTTACTTCATATTCGGTTTGTTTGGCTTTTTTTTTCGGTCGAAACAGTGTTTTTTTTTCACAATAATTTAGCCGGAACAGTGTTTTCAGCCAGTTTCAGTCAAGTTGCAGACCAGCGAACATGGCCTATAAGCTTTTCTAGATAACCAGTTTTTGTTATGAACTTAGATATAAACTATGTCTACAAACATAGTAAAAATAATTTGTATGTGGTAAAGACAGTCCAAACAGACCTAGCCTTAATCATCTACTTTTGACAGCTGACGAAAGCGAGCGTGTTGTAGTGTCGATGTGTGTCGTCTTATGAGCCATACTTTTTCGTACTTTTTAAGTGAAGTAATAGAGTTTTTTTTTTCTCTTACAACAAATCAGCGAACTGTATTTTTCAGCTTGTTTTTTCAGCGAAGCGAACAAGACCCAACGTGGCATTACGTACACATCATTTCACTATTAACTGCCTAGAGCAGTTACCAACTATCAGCATGTTTGCTTGTTGGTTTTAGCCAGGGCTTATCAGGCAGCTAACGATATTTTCCTCTCACAACAAATCAGCTCCAACTGGGCTTATCAGCCAAAAACCAACCAGCAAACATGTTCTATATCAAGGGATCCATTGCTCCAACAAGTGATTTTCTTATTTTTACCTCTTCTTATAAAATACTGGGTATATTCCTGAGCATTTTGGTATTTGTCAGAATACTCCCGTGTCCGCCTGACGCCGGTCTTCCAGGTTTTCCATCGGTATACACTCTTTGTAATCATCTACGTCACGCTTTGGCCCCGTTCATTTCGCTAAAAAACAAGCTGAAACATTGTTCCGGCTAATTTATTATGAGAAAAAACACTATTCCGACTAAAAAAACAAGCCGAAAAATATGGATTATAAGACAAGCGAACATGGCCTTCGCTCGTTCTCGAAGGCTCTGCATGAACCAAACCCTAAGCAGCGCGCATTGCATCCCTAATCAGCAATCAACACTCAACGCGAATAGACCTTTGTCTAGTGATAGGACAGTCCAGTGAGATGTTACCCACCAGGGTTCAAATCCAACCTTGGTGTCGCACCTATTTTCTGATTTTTTTCCAAAAAAAGTAGGGTACACACATGCGTGCACGTTCGGTGGTGCTGTACGTTTTCTGATCTCTTCTTTGCGTGTGTACGGTTGCGCATGCGTGTGTTTGCGTGTAGTGTGAGTGTGGAGTGTAGGTTGTGTGCGTCTAAAGTTATACCGATAAAAAAAAAGCAATCAACACTCAACTATTGAAATAGTGGGGCCCACATGCTTGCATTAAAAAAATGCCACCACGCCTTCCTAGCCGCATGCACCAATAGGAGGTCATTCTAGTTCCCAGACCTGGCCCTGGGGCAGGGCGAGCGGGGCGGCCTCGAGGCCCTCCACGGCTCCACGCCAAAGGGCCCCACTAGGTATGTATGTATGTATATATATTATACTTTGTATGGCTTTTGGTTTAGATTTGTCCCAAAAGTGAATGAACTTAATTTAGATAGGTTGCACGTAGAGTATATAGGTGGGAGAGAGGAAGACATGTTAGGTGGCATGGGATGATATGATTATGTCCAAGTTTCTTGGTGGAATGGGCTTCCGAGATATTGAGCTATTCAATCTTGCTTTGCTTGTGAAGCAGGCTTGGCGGATTCTTCAGGAACTGGCATCTCTAAGCGCCCGGATTTTAAAGGCAGTTTATCTTTCACAAGGTGATTTTTTGGAGGCCAATCTTGGATCTGCCTCCTCTAAAATCCGGTGATCAATTTTGGATGGTAGGGAAGTGCTTCAGCTCGGCCTGATGAGGAGAATCGTCATAGGTTCGCCTACACCAGTTTGGAATATGGACTGGCTACCGACTGATAGTATGTGGCGGCTAGTACCCAGTGCTCGCCCACACCCACCAAAGCTTGTGAGCGAGCTAATTGACAGCACATCGGTGGCTTAGGATTGAATAAAGCTTCAGGAATTGTTCACACAAGGTGATATTGATGTGATTCTTAATATCCATCTGTGTCATCGGAGTCGACCGGATTTCCGGGCTTGGCATCATGACAAGACGGGAGTTTTCGTAGTGAGATTCACATATAGAATGCTTATTATGCGGCGTGCTTTGTCGGAGAATGCAGCAAGGTCTAATAGGAGAGAGGAAGAGGAGTGGTCATCCTTGTGGCAGGTCATGGTGCCTTCAAAGGTACGAATTTTTTATTTGGCGGCTCGCAAAGCACTCATTGCCATCGACAGATGTTCTTCACCGTAGAAATATGGCTGATCATGGCCAATGTGCTTTATGTGGAGCCCGTGATTCTTGGAAACATTCCTTGCTTGAATGTAATATGGCGAGATGTGTATGGGCGTTGGAGAGCGAGGAAATCGTCGAACACCTTAGTGAGATGCAGGAGAAAAACTCAAGTGGTTGGTTGGTGAACCTGTTTGAAACAATGCCTCATGCCGATCTTATTCGGGTGTTGGTAACTATGTGGGCAATTTGGTATGCAAGAAGGAAGATGAAGGCCTCAAAAACAAAGGTCCGCACATCGAGAAGGTCCTAGAGATGAAGACCTGCACGCCAAGCGAAGCTGATGAACCATGTTACAGACACATGAGAAGGAGCCAAAGTCCAAAGATGAAGATGTCCGAAAGATTGAGGCGCTTGGAGCTAGAATCGAAGCCTCGGAATGAAATTAGAACATGTATAGGTTAGAGTTGTGCGCGTGCTCTTTTCTCCATGCCCTTTTTCCCACAAGGTTTTTGGGATGGAGTTTTTAGTGAGCCGTGCACATGCAAGTTGCGAAGGGCAATCCTTGCAACCAAGGTTTGAGTTGTATTGTGCCTCTTTTTATATGAGCATCTACTAATTAAGTCATATAGTACCGGCCATAACCTAGTAGCTAAGGGGCTACTGTTGGGGGAGCCCATATTCATGTGGGCCAACTCCCCCTGAAGAGGGCCAATAGGGGTTGATGTAGCGTCTTATGAATTTCGTCTCCACCAAGAGGGTGATTGTAAAATGTCACAACCTATATATAATGTCAAGAGCATGATGGCAAGGAACTCTCCCCTCTCACTCATTTGCAAATCCTAATCACCAACTCTCCTCTCTCTACCCGCTTAACATGTTCGGAACGCAAGTTTCCAACAAATATTAACTTTGTTTCAACAATGTTAGATTCAATTAATAATTGTTCAATTCCTCGTGTAATCAAGAAATTTGTCTCAAGAGAAATTAAATGTTTGACAACTTTATGCATTGAGGAGCAACTTTTTCAATCTAATATGCATAATAAATTAGTTTATAAAAATGCTTTTGTATATATTTCATGTATTTATTGGTAACATTATTATATAAATATGAGTATTATTGATATGGTACTTATAATAAGGGTCTCGATTTTAGAGTGTAGCTCTAGGTCCTAGAAAACTCAGGACTAGGACTGCTAGTTCCTGTGTTCCCTTGACGTGAAACAATAGCCACTACGATGTGATGGCATTTGCACAGTAATCTCGAATCGGACTACTGACGTTCGTCGTGCCAAAGAAACGTGTTGCACGAGGGCCCACGGGCGCAAACAACAAAGAGATTGGCGTGGGTACAAAAAGGAGAGGGTGGGAGCGCAATCAAGTCAAACCCAACTTTCCGAGACCGTTTTCATTGCCGCAAGAGATTGACGCCGTGGCCTATCTGCGGACGTCAATCGTGTCGATGGTTTTCTGGTGAGGGTACAGAAAGAGATTGATGTGGTATACCACAGAACCAAATTCGAATTAGCGTCACTCTCGAATCTCGAACCCTAGGGCACCTCACAAACCGCCCTCCGCTCCTCCCCAAGCGACCCAACCAAAGCAACAGTGCCTCACCTGAACCCTCCATGCGGCCACGCTGGTGGGGAAGAAGTCACTGATGCAGCGGCGCCTACTGATTCCTGGACGGCGCCGAGCCCCTACCCTACCTACGGACGCCGCATTGCCGCAAACCATCGACTCGTAACCCTCACATAGATTCTGTTCGCCCAGTACCTAGCCGGTAGGCTCTTGTTTGACCTCTCCAAGCATGGCAGCGACATCCATCGAATCGGCTACACCTTCAACCCCTCCCACCATGACTATGAGGGTGGCGCACGGGGCTGACCGGGGCCAACCGCCTTCCGCACTTCACCTTTAGGATCTTTGTAACGGTCAAGTGACATAAAACACCCCATGTGACAAACCAATCACATAACATGCAACATTGTACCAAAAAGACACTGATTTAGTTAGAGGAATTTACTGGAATCATTATATTACAAAGGTAGGGAAACATGGGTGTACGAAGTTTTATAATTCCCTCTCTAGGTTTAACTCTTCGCTGATTC